ACCTAGTCTTAGAAAGATCACTTTGCATGTAGCTGAGAAAAGTAGGGCAGTCATAAATGAATTTGCCAAGAACTCTATGATCTGAGTCCCCGATGAAAACTCATTCAAATAAAACTGAAAGACTCTATTATCTCATCTCACTTTATGACTAAACACAATCTGGAAAATACACCCTTTTAAAGGAAGGATTTATGGATGCCATGCATATTTGACAGTAGCCTTCTTCCCTTAATATGATCCTAATTCTGTAAAGATGAGAATGCACTAATAGAATTTACTTATGGAAAGTCCAAGCACAATAACATTAATAGGTAGGATGAAAAGAAGGAAAGAATGTAAGAAAGAAATTCAGGAAGAAAAAAAGGAGGGAGAAGAGGAGGTAAAGAGGGAAAGAGGAAGAATTCTCACCAAACCATGGAGGTTTAATCAGATAATATTTTAAAGGTTTGAAATAATATGCATTAAGCTGTGCAGACAACAGTCTCTTGAGAAAAGCTTCGTTCTCGTTATCTGTCATGAAAATAATGACCTGAAATGTCCACCGTGGTCCCATATTAATGACTCAGGACTCAAATTGTTCTCAACTTGTTCTGGCCACTATTAACTTAAAACAACAGACAAACCAAAACGCTATGATCATTACTAAAAGTGGATAGTCTGAATGGGTGGCAAAGGCTCAAACTGAAGTCGATCTTCACTATCTGACTAAAACCAGAGTTAAGACCAAACATACTCCCTAACAACGTTCAAAACATCACCTTCTGGCATACACGTGTTTTAATTTAGGAATCTGTAAGGTACTTCCAAGAGACAGGGAGAAAAGAAATGCTATGAGAAGACCTTAAGATAAAGAGTTCACACTTCTCTGGATTTTGTGTTCCATTTTTCATGAGTGTATCTTGGAAACTTGGGACATTATTATTTATGTTACGGCCTCTCCAGTGGAATATTCATAGTAGTGTAATGAGGCTTTAACCAGAAGGCACACATACATGTTGCTCTCTGATTGTCTTCCATGAAAGTGCACCAAGAGAGCGGTCTCAGGAAAGGGACTTCAGGCACATTTTGCAGAGGTATATCTTTTTCAGCCTACTGATTTCCTACAGATGGCTAAAGCAGGGTATGGAACATGCTGTCATATTTCATTCATAACACACATGTACTGTAGCTCTAGGGAACAGATGGACAATCACTTGTTTAAACTACAAATGTGAAATACTAAGGTAGAATGGCAATATTTCTAGAAATGTATATGAGAAAAAGAAGCCTTTCCAAGCCAAGAGGAATGGTGAGAGGCTGTGAGGTTACATCAGTGTTTCCCTGATCTCCCTAGCAGCTGCCATAATTTCCCCGACACCCTTCAAAACTTGATAATGGAGGGATCAGGGGGCAGCCGACACAGATTTGACAAGAGAAGCCCAAACCATATCAAATAGAAATAACACTGTTATTCCTGGCTGGTTCACATTAATAGGATTTTTTACTAACTAGGAAAACTGTTCTAGGTTGTGTTTTCAGAGCCCTGTCTTTAGTTTATAAACCCTCTAGGATAGCCCCATTGTAAAAGTGCTCTCTTTCTCCCTCCGAACCCAAATAAAAATAGTTGGCTAAACATAGAGTTTTATACACTTTAAACATCACCATAAACATCTCTGCAGAATCTTTCCTGGTGAGGAAACAATGACAGTGTTGATAACTCTGCTGCATTAGCCAACAGACAGCCAATAAAGTAATTTTGATCAGAGAAGGTGCCCCTACAAAAGCCATTTGTCAATGACAGGAAAAAGAACTTGCATCTTTGAGCTGCAGAGATGTCCAGCATCTCAAAGCCTTAATGCCTCATGTTGGGACACATGACTTTGTTTTGAGTTTTAAATGCAATTTTGCTTGCAAATGAGACTCCACATGGAGTCCGTATGAGCTAAGGATCCAGACAGTGAAGATACCTGATTTTGAAATGATGTGCAGAGCCCGTGACATAGTGGGTTTCCCTCCCCCCTTCCATGTCTCTCATTATACGGAATTACCAAGTATTTGTGTTCTTGACCATTGTTTAAAGCCAGTATATTTTAACAAACTTTCTCTTAGAAACTCTAATTTTTCTATTATTTATGAATTTAAATAACAATCAAGACGATATATCAAAAGACAAAAGAATTATAATTGTTAAGGTAGTATGATCTTTCTATCTCTGTTATAGGCAAAATTTCACGTAACTAGAACAGTAAAGAGTGATTTGGCATTGTTTAAACCAAATGATTAATAGAAAAGACAAGAAAGCAATATAAATCATATAATTAAGAAATCCCGGAATAAAATATGTAGGATCCTTTCCTTAATATACCTTGTGAAAGAAAAGAAATCTAAATCTAAATATTTCTGCATATGTATGTGTGCACATTCATTATTATAAAAGTATAATAGGTCTATATTAAAAAGAGATTTACTTTAAAACTCTTTGGTAAAGATACTCTGAGGTTATGTGATAAAAATGTACTATAAAGATTGAAAGCAAGCAGTATTCTGGCAATGCCACAGTGATGGGTCTGTGACAGCATTTTCTTATAACTCTCTCTCTTTTTAAAATGTTTTGGCTTGTAAACATTTAGTTACATAAGGACTTAAATGTAGCAAACAAGTAGAATGTTATTGCATCTTTATAGCATAAATATTTCATAAATTTTCCTCTTTTGGCAAAATTTATAATAATATGACTGCACTTCAAGAGATAACATCCATCTCTCAATAAATTGGGCTTTTGGCCTAAACACAATTTCCCCCAAGTATTTCATAGACAACAAATTGCTGGAGCAATTCAAACAGATTGTATTCTCTCTCCAACTGCCCAACACTCAGTGCTCTTTGAGATCATCAGCATGGTCTGATCTTGAACTTGGAAGACAGAAATTCAGAGATACAGTCACTATTGTATCCTAAAATTCACATGCTGCCCAAAATGAATCCCATTGTATTTCACATTAAGAAACATATAAAAGACCAATGACAAGAGTAGCAAAGTAAGGAAAGGACAAAGTTTTCTGGGAAAACCTTGGAAAACCATAACGTCGGCAGTTCTAACACAAAACTATTGGGTGAGCAAGGCGAATGAGCCGCGAATTAACTTAGATGAAGCTAAGGACCAAAGGCTTAAGAATTTCTTATTGAAAACAAGAAAATCAAACCAGTTTTACAATTATTTCTACTGAAGTAAAATAAATGTAATTGGAATTCCTGAGGCATGGGTTATAATTTAAAACATGCACAAATAATTTTTCATTTATGTTCTGAGTGTTAAAAATTAAAATAAAAGTCAGACTAGAAAATTGACTTTATCACTTTATAATCAGGAGAAAGCTATTTGTGGAATCAGGGACGGGTGCACAAGGGAATGGATCTGTATCTGTTATATTTGATTTCTTAAGCTGGTGTCACGTATACAGGGATTCATTATATTATTATTTATTCTTTTGTGTATATTTAAAATACTTCATCATTTAAAAGTATATACTTGTGGAAGATTTGAAGAAACGTTTAAGAAATCTCAATCCAAAATACTTGACTAGTTTACAAATGGCAACCTGCCATTATTAAGATGGGCATCTCTCTTTAAAAGAAACGAGTTAGAACCCAAAAGAATGGTTCTGCAGTTGGCAAGCAAGCATTTCAATGCCCAGTAAGAGTTTGAATAAAGATTCCAGGCAGAGACTTTGCATATTTTTAGCTCAGAAAGGCAATTTTTTTTTTCAGCGATTGTCTGAAAGTGTGGTGTAAATGTCACATCAATGATATGAAAATGTCTCCTGCAATATGTAATTGGATTTATAGCAGGATTACAAGAGTAATGAAACTGTGGTTTCACAATCTTTTCAAGCTTTCCTGTCTTTTTAAAAGTAAACTAAACAAACTACACGATTTTATTATGTGTGCTCTGATTTGCAGTTGTCAGGCAAAAAGGACCTGGGCCTGGGGGAAAAAAAGGAAGAATATGAACAGTTCTTTATAAGCAATATTCCTCCTGGAAAAACTCAACTTTGGTAGTTGTGTTTGGATATTATAAACAAACAAACAAACAAACAATACAGCAATATTTCTCAGATGAAAAGTGGGATGGTTTTGGAAGTGTTATGTTCTATAGAAAACAAAATTTGTCTGTATTATTAGGTCTAGGTAGCATGGAAAAGGAAACTCTTAAGATAATATTGTGAGATAATAATAGGCTTTTCAAACATACCCCCCAATTTTTTTTTCCCCAGCATATCCCACCCGTAATTCCCTCAGAAAAAAACTGAAGTTTGGATCTCACCAATAACTGTTTTCAAATGAGCCCTGAGCACCAAAATCACTATAGACTTTGAATTTCCAATCAAATTTGGTTGCAAATTCAATAGGCGCTTGTTTTAAACTATGTCATTTACAGCTTAAATTCTTTGTTGCCTAACATATACATTGCACACTTTTACCCCCCACCCCCCACCCCAAGGGACATGACCGGTTTAGAGCAACAGAAAGATGTACTTTTCCAATACACACAGAAAGAATGGCTGTCCTTTATGATCACAGGCAATGTGGAAGTGATAGGATGAGACCTTCAAGCCTAAAAGCACCTGTGAGTTGGCAGACTCACCCAGGAAAAAACTGTGTGACAGCAAATACCACACTAAAAAAAGCCATTCAACCAGATGAAAAGTGAGACAAACATAGGGATTAAAAGTTACAGGAATGCAGAAGTGAATGGGATGGAGTATAATCCGTGCAAAAATGTGGAAGTCCTTGGGAACAAAGGCCCATCAAGGTCCTACATGATTAAATGTGAAATGTGTATTTGGTGAGAACTTAAAAAAAAAAAATCTCATAATCTATGTGTTTCTAAAGAAAGGTTAATATTAGACGAAGAACAGAGACCATCCCACGGTTTGATTGCCTTTCCTGTATTTTTCCCATGTCTTTTCTTATCTTGTTTCTTGTGTTTCATTCTTCTCAGCGCCACCAACTAACTGAACTTAAAGGTCAGTGCTGGCCTTGGCCGTCAGCACCCTAATGCGGGCGGAGTTGCAGGTCTTGCAGAGGATGTGTCCATCCAGAGGGTAGCAGCCTTGGTTATCTCCTTCAGACAGGAGACCACCACAATCCTGGAAAGATAGATGGAAAGGATGTAAGTGAAAATGGCAACTGTGTACGTGAAGGCTGAATTCCTTAGCTTTCCATTCAAGGCCTCCCTCCATAATGTGGCCGTTTCCTGCCTTTCCTCTTCATACACCGCGGGCCCCCTCCAAGCCTTCCCCGGGATACAACATAATGTCTTGAATGAAACTGAACAAGAGATTGGGGACATAAAGACAAACAGTAAAATGACCCCCCTTCTCTGATTACCTAATAGGAAACGCGAGTCCCAGAAGAGAAGAATACCAGGGTCTGGGTGCCCAAGTAGTAGTTTTGTTCTCCTCTCCCAAGCAACAAAAACAGCAACAACAAGGACAAGAGAAAATAAAACAAGGGTAGATCCCCAACCACTGAGTCATCTTGACCTTTTAGCATTAGTCTAGGATCTCTCAAAAGGAATACACAGGTGCAGGGACAGAACTCCTTGGCAGTTGGTGGGCAGAAGCCAAGCTGCAGAGTGCCTCCTTCCAAGCAGACGGGCCAGCAACAGTACTACTGTCCTCAGCACCTCTGCAGCTCCATTTGGGAAAACGTTATACAAGAGTCAAATATTGGCCCTTACCTTTGGAGAAAATGGAAGTTTCTCTGAAAAGAAAAATACAATACTTCATCTGGTGGTGGGTGCCCTTGCTAACGTCAGTAGAAACTCTTCTAAAAGGCTAGAAGTGCCGCATGCTCAGCTTTTGCTGTCCACTATGACAGCAAGGAGGTCACAGGGGCTCATGTCTACATTTGAATGCCAGTAAAATTTAAGTTTAGAAGGAATATCGCCCACAACACAACAGCAGCAGCAGCAGCAGTGGCAGCAGGAGGCAGGCTCCCCAGAGGGCTGGCTTTGCCAAAATGAGCAAGCGGATATTCCGCAGTTCTAGAGGCATTCCGGAAACTGAATAATGGAATTAAATGAACTCTTTGCATCTCAAAAAAGAAAGGACATGTCATAAGTGACATGGCTGTAAGCATTTAATGAGCAGACATCTATGATCACCTGAAAACCCTGAAGAGCCTGAAGTCAACCACAGTGTTGGAACCATTCATGGTTCTTAGAACCAAAAGGGGCTATATCGGGCATCCAGTCCAACCTCCTCGTTTTTATAGATGGGGAAGTGAGAGCAGCGAGGGAAGCGATTGGTCCAGTGTCATGAAGCATCTGTGACAGGGCTAGAACTGTGGTTTGCCCTCTCCTTATTTACTGTTCCTCTCATTTTATAGTACTGTTTTAAAAATTCATAGGAACTGGAGGGTATTACGCTAAGTGAAATAAGTCAGTCAGAGAAAGACAGATATCATATGTTTTCACTCATGTGTGGAATTTGAGAAACTTACCAGAAGACCATGGGGGAAGGGAAGGGGGCAACATTGTTTCAAACAGAGAGGGAGGCAAACCAGTAAGAGACTCTTAAATACAGAGAACAAACTGAGAGTTGATGGGGGGAGGGGGGGAGGGGGAAAATGGGTGATCAGCATTGAGGAGGCCACTTATTGGCATGGGTGTTGTACATAAGCGATGAATCACGGGAATCTACTCCCGAAACCAAGAGCACACTGTATACACTGTATGTTAGCTAACTTGATAATATATTATATTAAACAAATAAATAAAGAAAAAATAAATAAATAAAAAAGTTTATAGGATTTCAGAGCAAACTTAATTCGTACTGCTGTCATTTAATCTGGAAGGAGAAAAGGCACACATTTCATACAACTCTTGGCACAAAAAACAAAACCATCAGGGCGCCTGGGTGGCGCAGTCGGTTAAGCGTCCGACTTCAGCCAGGTCACGATCTCGCGGTCCGTGAGTTCGAGCCCCGCGTCGGGCTCTGGGCTGATGGCTCAGAGCCTGGAGCCTGTTTCTGATTCTGTGTCTCCCTCTCTCTCTGCCCCTCCCCCGTTCATGCTCTGTCTCTCTCTGTCCCAAAAATAAATAAACTTTGAAAAAAAAAATTAAAAAAAAATATTATTAAAAAACAAAAAACAAAACCATCAGAGGTCAAGGCCTATTTGTATGTATAGCAAGTGTGTGAGCAATGTTGAAGAGCTTTCCTTCTTTGAGCCTCAGTTTCTCCATCTGTGAAATGACTTCTAAGGCATCTATAAGCTCTTTCACACTTATGATTCAGGTCAGTTTTAAGGCTGGAGGTTGCTGTTCCTCTGTAGTCATAAAATCTTGTGTAAAAGCTGGTAGTTTATTATCTTTTTCTTAATTATTATTATCTTTTCTTATGTCAAGGGAAGAGAGCTATATGGAACTTGGGCTCTAGGGTAAAACAAAGAACCCCACATAAATCAAGTGGTTAGCTACAGCTAAAGCAGTGAGTGGAATAAATGTAGTCCCAGAGAGCCAGAGACAGCCCCCCAGCCCTCCTGACCCCACCAGCCCCTTAGTCTTTGGAAGGTCACCTAGTGGGACTAGATGAACCAATGACGGGAGGGTGTGGCAATAGGCAGTTCATACTCTCCCCACAGAGAGAAGAGAGAGCTGCTAACTACTGCCCTCCAACCTGGATTACAGGCCTCTTGTACGTATTCCCACAGCACCTGTGCATACTTCCCCTGGAGCTCTTAGCAGCCGCCTGACCTCCTGTCTTATGTGCATAGTCAGTGCCTGCTAACTCAACCAGTCTCCATGACTTTGAGCATCAAGTTCCAACCCCTTGGAGAGGAGTGAGATCTTATCTTTCTCAATGGCTGAGAATGGATCTCCGTCCCATAGGAGTATCAGAGTCACAGTTAAAAACACATTATAGGGGCGCCTGGGTGGTTCAGTCGGTTTAGTGTCCGACTTCGGCGCAGGTCATGAGCTCATGGTTTGTGAGTTCGAGCCCCATGTCAGGCTCTGTGCTGACAGCTCAGAGCCTGCAGCCTCCTTCAGATTCTGTGTCTCCTCCTCTCTCTGCCCAGCTCATGCTCTGTCTCTCAATAATAAAATAAACGTTAAAAAAAATAAAAAAAAAAAAACTCATTATAACGATGACAATAATAGTATCAAGAATACCATTTCCTACTAATTTAGCACTTTGTGGTTTATGATTCTTTAACATACAGTTTTGTATTTTAGTGGCACAGCCATATTTGGGGAGGTGAATAAGAATTTGAGCCCTTTTTACAGGTGGGAAAATTGAGAGTGAGAGGTAAAGTGACTTATCCAGGGTCACCAGGATTAAATGAAACCGTAAGATCTAAAACCCAAGTCCTATGAACACAGGTACCAGGGGTTTTCCCCAGATTGAATAACTGCTGTATTTGTGAAAACCTATTTCCCTTGGGCCTTGCAGCACCTGCCATGCACTGACAGGGTGTGGGGGTGCTGACCACAGACCTCACACCGGTAGCAATGAACATGGAAATCGCGATCCAGAGCCACAATCCGGACAGTCTCCTCCTGGCCCGGGGCCGGCATGATAGGCTCTTTGCACACAGAACATCGGGGGGCAAATTTCCTGAAAATGGAGACAACAGTTCTGGTTAGACATTGAGCATAGACACTGACAAACAGGTGAGACCCACAAGTGGAAAGATGAGGGGTAGGTCAAGAGTCAGGACATCTGCTCTGTCATCTTGCATGACCTTGAGCAAATCACGATCCTTTTCTGGGTCTGTTCCCTCGGCTGTAAAATAAGGGACTTAGACTCAGTGACTTTTGAGGTCCTTCTAGATCATAAAGTGAGATTTCGTGAGGCTGGGGAGTGAGTGTATACAATCCTTATGGATGAAGAGCATCTAGGAGCTATTGGTCACATGGTATGTGACATAGAATTCACTTGTGCATAGACTGCAAACACAAATCCTGGGTTAGGGCAGGGTCCTGGCGGCCCTTACTATGTTTTCTTTTCCTTGACCTCATCTTGTTTGACTTTCACTTCTAGACCTTATATGTACTCCCCAGGCCCTCCACAAATATTCTGAGGTTGGTAGCTGTGTCATTCCCACTTATTAGAGCCTCTTTCTTTGATACTAACTTCTAGGAATTAACACAAGAAACCTCGACCACATATCTTTTCAAAACAGCAGAAGTTAGCGACCTTAAATACACCAAACTTGCTATGACCAAGCGTGTACTTCTGACATTTCGATTGTGTTAAACTCTTGTTTGAAAAGGAAAAAGTTAAAAAGCTGTCAAGTTCTTTATTCCTCAGAGGGTTTTAGCACTTCCAAAAGGTATGAACACTTACACATATAGAGACACATATATGTGTGTTTTTGAGGTTAACTGTTAGTGAGGAATTTTAACATTTCCTAATCTCTTAACATTCCTGAATGTGACCGATGGCCCTAAATTTTTTTTCTCAGAGCAGATTAAGAGGCTGCAAATATAGGCTGTGCATCCATCCCTATCTCCTGGAAATTAGGGGTAGCATTTGGGAAGGTGTGAAATAAGACATGATTTGAAATGGCCACGGATAAAAGCTGATAGAGGTAAAAAAAAAAAAAAAAAAAAAAAAAAAAAAAAAAAAAAAAAAAAAAAAAAAAGGACAAACAGACTGCGCAACTCAGTTTTTTCATGGTAATGGTTTTAAGATTAATGATGTTAAAATTTATCTATTTGTAGTGAGACTTAAAAAGAAATAATGATAGTAATCTAATACTTTGCAGAGCACTTTATGGTTGTCAAAGCATTTTTACATACATTATACTCTATATGTACATATTAATTTTCTTGGCAGCAGCCAAAAGGCATCTGTATGGCTGCAATCTAAATAAATATGAATTAAGCAGCAGATCAATTGATTGCTCTGAAAGAAAAATTAAAAGGATCAGGGTACAACTGTAGCAGTAATCAGGGTTGTTATAATTGGCATTTTATGCAAGAAGTTTACACTCAGTGGTAAAAAAAAAAAAAAAAAGAAAAAGAAAAAGGAAAAAAAGACTGCTTTGGACTACCTGATTATTTTTGCATCTGGGTCATCAGTAGTGAAATAAGCAGGCTTCTGGAATCCGCTGTAGAATTTCCTTTCCCCAAGCCCATCGGGACTGTAAATTCTGTGGGGTCAGAAGTCTATCTTTTCTATCATTGAACTGCGCGCCTGCCCCTATTTCCTCAAGTAGAATTACTTCTCTAAGATAAAATATCTTTCCCTGAATTTGCCTATTTTAGTAGTGATTATTTGCACATCTTCGGGGATCGCTCTACTGTGAGCTTCCAGCTGGCAGGTTCTGCTCAGTCTCTGAATCTCCAGAAACAACTTCTGTGACCAGGGCAGACAGTAGAATTTCAGGCTACCACGCATAAAATGAAGTGTCTGCCATTTTGCTCTATAAAAAGATGTGACTTGGACCTTTATGTTCAATCTTAAAGTCCTTCCTCTTTGGAAAGGCATAAATTGTGTTCTCGCTGAGTAAGGATTCCTTCCTACCAATTGGCCTCATTTCCATGATGGGAAAAAACAAAGGGAAGACAGGAAGTGGTTTCACAGTCCCCACAGTGTTCCTTGGCCGGCATTTTAAAGACTGTTCTAAATCCCAGGTGGTCTGTTTCAAAGCTCAGCTCACTCAGCAGATAATAATAATAATAATAATAATAATAATAATAATAATAAAAGTAAATTTGATAAAAAACACTTTTGATTGCTCAAATGGCTACCATATATTGTGTGCTTATTAAGTGCCAAGGCTTGTTAAGCGCTCTGCACACTTGACCTCGTGTTTTTACTGACAACAACATTATGAAGAAATAGTTTTTATCATTTCTGCTTCATAGCCACAGAAGCCAAGGCTCAGAGAAGGACAGTCTTAATCATCTTGTGTCCTGGCACATTTCTGGCAATCAACAAATGGATGCTGATTAAACAAATAAATGGATGAGTGTAATGTCTCTGATAAGAAAGCACAGATAGTGAAATAAAGGCTCAACACAATGAAAGGTCAGTTAAATAAACCTGCTTTTCAGAGCTCACTGTCCTGGCACTGGGAATACAGAAATAAACTAGGACTTCTGCAGCCAGACTGGTGAGGGAGTTCTATCTATTTCTGCATTTATTCTATTAAGTGCAATATACATATCCTGCCATATTGCAAAAATGATTCAAGGTGGTAAGTGTAAAATTGTGTGTGTGTGGGGGTGCCTGGGTGGCGCAGTCGGTTAAGCGTCCGACTTCAGCCAGGTCACGATCTCGCGGTCCGTGAGTTTGAGCCCGCAGATTTGGGCTGATGGCTCAGAGCCTTGAGACTATTCTGTGTCTCCCTCTGCCTCTCTCCTTTCGCCCGTTTGTTCATGCTCTGTCTCTCTCCCAAAAAATAAATAAACGTTCAAAAAAAAAAATTGTAAAAAAAAAAAAATTGTTTGTGTGTGTTCTTTATTACTAATCAGGCTGTGTATGTACTAGCTATAGCTGATTTACAAAACTCTGCAGAACACAGAGAGGAAGATATAAATTCAAACAGGGGGACAGGGGAGGGTTGAGGTCAGGGAAGTCTTCTCAGAGGAGGTGGTAATTGAGTTGGACCTTGAATGAAGGCCATTTAGGTGAAATGGGAAAGTGTGTGTGTGTGTGTGTGTGTGTGTGTGTGTGTGTGTTGAAGGTGAGGGTGGACACAGTCAGTTTGCCAGGGAACTGGTTTGAACAGTCATCTGAAATAGGAAGAGTTGCTACCCAATAGGATAGAGGACTTGGGCCAGCATTGACTGGAGGTGGTTATGCAGGGGATGGACCATTAATAAGGCCTTACAAATAGTGTTTGGGAAGCTTGTTACTCAAAGTGCTGTCTAAGACGATCGGGGAGATTGTCAGAAATTTGGAATTAGGAGGTCCCACCCCAGACCTACTGAATTATAATTTGCAGTTTAACAAGATCCCTAGGTGACTTGTAAGCACATTAACATTTGGGCAGCACCAGTTTAGAACACAGGATGCTAAGAAGGCAAGATCAATCCCTTCTCATGGGCCTTCCGTATCTCACTTCCACTCTCAGGCTGCTCTAGTTACAGCCAAGCAAATCTTCCTTGAATGTAGAGACGCCCTTCCCCACTTCACCCGTTCTTTATTTCCTGAGTGGTTCCTGCTGTCAGGAATTTCTGTTTCTCACTTAAAATACTTTTCAGATTCTGCTTCCAGAAGCCTACCCAGATCCCGGGGCCAAGTAATCTCGGACTCTGCCAGTTCAAGCCTTCGCCTGTGCCTGTCTCATCGTGTCTGGCCCCTTCTGCCTGATATCACACATACTCTGCACTTACTCCCTCCCCTCCTTCTGGCAAGCTCCTTGCTGACAGGGGTTTTTCTCGGTGTGTCTGTGCATTTTCTACTCAGGCAGCTTCTCTCCTTGTATCTCTCTCCTTTAGCACGGAGCACCCAGAGGGCTCTCTGCAGATGTGGCTCGACTGAATTGAAAGAGATTTCCTAAGAGCTTTCCTTCCTAAAAGACCAAGCCCAAGGCCCCCCAAAACAGTCTGCAAAAGAAGGCTGTTTCCCGCTCTGTACCCTCTCGTTTGCCTTGCAATGCCCACCCTGGGTGAGGCTTTTAGCTGCTTTGTGTTCTAGTACTTTCAAGGCTCAGAAACAGGGTTCTGTAAAATTCCTCTCTTATTTTTCTTTGGGAAATCATGAAAAGATCAAGCTTTCCCCCCTACATACCTGCCAATCATGCAGACAACATTATTTAAAAAAAATAATTTGTCTTTTAACATGCCATGGAATTAGTGGTGGAGGGGGAGAGATGGGGGCTGGAGATGGTTTTTGCCTTTTAGCTGCTCAAGTCTGCTTGTCTGGAGTGTTCAGACCCACACACTTATGTCACCAGTCCCAAGTCTCTAATTATGCTCCTCACTCTTAGAAATGAAAGATAAATGGCATAGATATAAACTTCCATTTGTCAGAATTGATTTCCTGTTTTAATTGGGGGGTGTAATAGATCCGTCTTTTCCAGCAACAGAAACATGTGTGCTCTGATTACATCTATCAGTCTTGGATTCAGGGAAGTCTAAGAAAGGAGGCACACAGTGACAGAAACACACTCCCTGTTGGTATCTTTTCACTTCCCTTAAATAGATGCAGGTTTTTTTCATGTGTAATTACAAGCTAAAAATATCAATAACGTGAAGTACAATTTATGCTGTGACTGCCCTTTCAAAGTGAGCCCTTACTTGTCTAATTCAGGTTGAGAATTCCTGCCTCTGGGGTTTTATAATTCATTCAGCCTCACGTCTTTTGGTGAGGTTTTCCCTTTCTTTGCTACTTGGAAAGTGCTAAGGAAATTCATTTTTTTAAAATAGGAGTCTCAAGGCCCCAAACTGCTTGTGGCAAACTCCTCCTGGTTGTTGACAGTCAACAGAGCGGTGAAAAATAACCCACAAGACCGCACATCTGGAGGCCATAGAATGGAGACCCAAACTGGTGAGCCACATGAGCTTTATCTCCGTGAGAGCTTTGGACTGTCCTCAAAGACTCAGACTGCCCCGTAAGTAAGCCAGAAAGCCTCCGTGCCTCCCATTTACAAATCACTGCTATAGCTTTCATATGGTTACTATATATTTGTAATGAATGTCATCAACAAATCAGCCAACTAACAAAGGGGCCAAATAAAAAGAAGGCAAAACAAAAAGCATACAATTTTCATGAACACCACAGCTATGACAGAGGAAAGAGGGCCCTATGAATGACAGAACCGAAGGACATATTTTTCTAGGCCCATGAGTAAGTTCCCTTGACCTTGAGACTCTACTTTCTAATCCTCTTCAAAAGACTGCACAAGACTGCACGCATTAATTTTATCGGAAAGCATCCTGAGGGGGAGAAGGCCTGGGTAGGGAAACAGGTTACGGGAAGATGTGACAGCTAATGGTGTGACACGGACCCAAATACGTGCGAGGCCTATACTAGGAAGACAGACTTGATTGCTCTCTGTGCACGTCCGCCTCCCTGTGAGCTCCTATCTGTAGACTGGCAAGACGTAGAGGTCAGCGCCAGAGAGAACTGTGGACTATTACACCTGGGGAGCTTTAAGACAGGCTCTGTTCTAATGACCAGACTGAACAGCTCGGAGAAATTGAGCGGTTTGTCCACTGTCACACATCTTGTTCGTGTTGAGGCCAGGGAGGGCTACCCTGGTATCCTGCCTATTTCCAACGTACACACTCTGCATCTGAGTCAACTTTCTCACAATCAGAGCCACACAAAGATGTGACGGATGAGCCCCAGGCAAGCCTTTGAGCAGAAACTGGGGTGAAGGACCAGATGGATTAATGGACACCCGTTCCTGGATTAGAAGAGGGGATTAACAAACTCCATTTTTAAGGTCCCATCAAATCCTGAGATCCTACAGCTCTGTGAGAGAAGAATGTGTGGCCCAGACACCAGGCAGTAAGGACAGACTCTTGAGGGGACTGGCAGGCTCGAGGGGACAGAGTAGACTGCCTACTTGTGGAAGTCCTCAATGCAGTGAATGAGGCCACCAGCGTCCACGGTGAATGGGATCCCGTCAAGGCTGCGGTGGCACATGACACAGGTAAAGCAGTGAGGATGATAGGCCTTTCCGGTGGCTCGCAGGATCCGCTCCATGATGGGCTTGGAGCACACACTGCACTGTTCCAGGGTGTTCTGGGGAAGGAGAGATAAACACCAATGTTAAACTGGGACTTGAGGAGCTCCACGTATTTAATACCTTATGGCAAGACCAGCAGTGTTTGTTACAGACACAATTGGCTCATGTGCCTATCACAGTACTTGGGAGAAAGCAGAGTGCATACCTTTATTATAGAGACAAGGAAACACGTAAGATACATCAGGGGTCTTTTCTAAATTCACCCAGGTAGTAGGTGGCCAACCAAGCATTTAGAACACATGTCTTCTGACTTCCGTCCCTTTTCTACCACTATTGCAGGGTTGATGGCAAACATTTCTGTAAAGGCACGTACGGTAAATATTTCTGGTTTTGTTGCAGCAATTCAGTTCTGCTGTCATAGTGTGAAGGCAGTTGTAAATGCACAGGACTGTGTTCCAATAAAACTTTACTTACAAAAGTGGGTTGGATTTTGCTCACAGCTGTAGTTGTTTGACCCCCTGAACTGCATAACCAAGGTTCTCCACTGGAAGAACACCTCACTATTCTAAAACTTGATGAGTCTTCAAAAATCTGGGAGGGTCACCAACGACCTTAAGATTTTAGGAGGGTCTGCCTGATGATGGAGACTCACAGAGCATGCCAGTTGTAGAACCCAATCAGGGCTCAGCATAATCCATGAGGGCTTTTGATTATTTAAAGCTTTGATTCGAACACCACCTCCAAGTTTAGTGTTGTGCACCCTGGACAGAAAAGAAAGTCAACTTATCTGTCTTACAAAATATGCTGAGCTTTAAAAAATGAAACCCTCACCAAAAGGGATACCATATATTGATCAGGACTTGGAAAGATTGATAAAATTGGCTATTAACTTTCCATCCTTCCCTAGAATCCCATGCTGTCTACTAAACAACCTTGTTATATGCTATATTCCAAGTGAGATGTCTGGACTGATTCAGAGTTCACAATCTAGAATAAACCTGGGATGGGGATCTTATTAGAAAGATGCAGAACTGGAAGGGATGTGGAAAGTAAGGAGTAATTTCCCTCTTCCCATGAGAACCTTTAAATAGCTCTCACACAAGAAATGCCTATAGGTAGATAACTAGTGTGCTGATGTCTCAACCACAGCAACAGTCTCTGATTGGCTTTCTTGTTTGCATCTCTCCTTCTCTAACACTTCCCTGTTCCCTAAGTGACTTCCAGTTTCCTTTCCAACACACAGATGTGACCAACTAACTTTGCTTCTAGCAAAAACTTCTATAGCCCCACAATGTGATAAGAACTAATTCCTTACCTGACATTCAACCTCCCTTTCTAGGGTCAGATTCCCCTAATGTCTCAGATTGCTCATGCTATTTCAAATCTATGAGAAACTTCCATAATTCTGTGCATTGGCTAATGCCTAGAATGAACTACAGTTTATCATCTTGAACTTTCAAGGTACAGGTCAGAAGGCAACTCTCCAGTAAAGCCTACCTTGATGCCTTCAGTTGGAATCAATTGCTTCTTTCTCTACCCTTCCTGAGCACTTACAGTGTTCACTGTATTAAAATTATTTGCACATTTGTCTATTTCTTCTATTAGACTAATCTCTTTAAGGGAAGCAACTATGTCTTTTTAAAAAAAGCTATTAAATTCCGGTGCAGTTAACATACAGCGTTATATTAGTTTCAAGTGTGCAATATAGTGATTCAATAATTCTATACATCAGCCTGTGCTCATCACAATAAATCTACTTTTAATCCCCAGCACCTGTTTCATCTATCCTCCCATTCACCTCCTCTCTGGTAACCATCGGTTTGTTCTCTGTAGTTAAGAGTCTGTTTCTTGGTTTGTCTCTCTCTTTTTTCCTTTTGTTCATTTGTTTTGTTTCTTAAATTACACATATGAGTGAGATCAGATGATATGTCTTTCTATGACTGGCCTATTTTGCTTAACATTATACTCTCTACTTCTATCCACGCTGTTACAAATAGCAAGATTTCATTCTTCTTTTATGGCTGAATAATATTACATATGTATCCCTCATCCATTCATCTGTTGACGGAAGCAATTATGTTTCCATAATTTGGCTATCATAAATAACATCACAATAAACATATGGATGCAGGCATCCTTTCAAATTAGTGTTTTTACATTTTTTGAGCAAATACTCAGTGGTGTGATTCTTGGATACTAAGGTAGTTCTATTTTTTTTTTTTTTAATTTTTTTTTCAACGTTTATTTATTTTTGGGACAGGGAGAGACAGAGCATGAACGGGGGAGGGGCAGAGAGAGAGGGAGACAGAGAATCGGAAACAGGCTCCAGGCTCTGAGCCATCAGCCCAGAGCCTGACGCGGGGCTCGAACTCACGGACCGCAAGACCGTGACCTGGCTGAAGTCGGACGCTTAACCGACTGCGCCACCCAGGCGCCCCAGGTAGTTCTATTTTTAACTTTTTGAGGAACCTCCCTACTGTCTTCCATAGTGACTGCAGTAGTTTACATTCCCACCAATAATGCACAAGGGTCCCTTTTTCTCCACATCATTGCCTACACTTGTTTCTTGTGTTTTCAATTTTAGCCATTCTGACAGTTGTGAGGTGATATCTCATTGTAGTTTTGATCTGCATTTCCCTAATGATAAGTGATGTTAAGCACCTTTTCATGTATCTGTTGGCATCTGTATGTCTTCTTTGGAAAGAACTCTGTTCATGTCTTTTGCCCATTTTTAATTAGATTATTATTATTATTGTGTGTGTGCATGTTGAATTGTATAGGTTCTTTATATATTTTTGGATACTAACCCTTTATTGGATAGGCTATTTACTAATATATTCTCTCGTTCAGTAGTTTGTCCTTTAGTTTTGTTGATTGTTTCTTTTCATGTGAAGAAGATGTAGTCCCAATAGTTTATTTTTGCTTTTATTTCCCTTCCTCAAGAGACATGTCTAGAAAAATGTTGCTACGGATGATGTCAGAGAAAATACTGACTGGGCTCTCTTCTAGAATATGTATGGTTTCAGATGTCAATTTAGGTCTTTAATCTATCTTGAGTTTATTTTTTGTATATGGTATAAGAAAGTGGTCCAGTTTCATTCTTTTGCATGTAGCTGTTCAGTTGTCCAGATACCATTTGTTTGAAGAGACTTTTTCCCATTGTATATTCTTGCCTCTTTTATCAAAGATTAATTGACCATGTAATCGTGGATTTATTTCTGTGCTTTCTGTCCTGTTCCATTGATTCATGTGTCTGTTTTTGTGTTAGTATCATACTGTTTTGGTACTACAGCTTTGTAGTATAACCTGAAATCTGGAATTGTGACACCTTCAGGTTTGTTTTTCTTTTTCAAGATTGTTTTGGCTATATGGAGTCTTCTGTGGTTCCATATAAATTTTAGGACATTTTTGTTCTAGTTTAGCGAAAAATGCTGTTTGTATTTTGACAGAGATTGCATTAAATCTGTAGATTGCTTTGGGTAGTATCAACATTTTAACAATGTTTGTTCTTTCAATCCAGGAGCATAGAATATGTTTTCATTTGTTTGTGTCATCTCCAATTTCCTTCATCAATGTTGTATAGTTTTCAGAGTATAGGTTTCTTGCCTCCTTGGTTAAGTTTATTATGAGGAGTTTTGTTATTTTTGGTGCAATTGTAAATGGGATTGTTTTCCTAATTTCTTTTCTGTGCCTCCATTATCAGTGTATAGAGATGCAATGGATTTCTGCACATTGATTTTGTATCCTGTGACCTTACTAAATTAACTTAACAGTTTTAGTAGTTTTTTTTTATGGTGTCTTTATGGTTTTTTAAATATAGTATCATGTCTGCATGCAGTCAAAATCTAGACTGCAAATAGTCAAAGTCTCTTTCTTTCTTACCAATTTGGATGCCTTTTATTTCTTTTTCTTATCTGATTGCTGTGACGAGGACTTCTAGTACTCTAATGAATAAAAGTGGTGGGGCCCCTTGGTGGCTCAGTCAGTTAAGGGTCGGACTTCGGCTCAGGTCATGACCTCATGGTTCATGAGTTTGAGCCCTGTGTCAGTCTTTGTGCTGACAGTGCAGAACCTGGAGTCTGCTTCAAGTTGTGTCTCCCTCTCTCTGCCCCTCCCCCACTCATGCTCGCTCTCTCTCTGTCTCTCAAAAACATTAAAAATGTTTTAATAACATCAAAAATTAAATTTAAAAGTGGTGGGAGTGGACATCCTTGTCTGATTCCTGATCTTAGGGGAAAAACTCTCAGTTTTTCACCATTGAGTATGACATTAGCTGGATTTTTCATATATGGCCTTTATTAGGTTGAGATATATTCCTTCAGAACCTACTTCGTTGATGTTTTTTTTTATCATGAATGGATGTTGTACTTTGTCAAAACCTATTACTGCATCCATTGAAATGATCATATGATTTTTATCCTTTCTCTTGTAAATGTGTTGTATCATGCTGATTGATTTGCAAATATTGAACCACCTTTGCAACCCAGGAATAAATCCCACTTGGTGAATGATTTTTTTAAACGTATTGTTGGATTTGGTTTGCTAATATTTTTTTTTGAGGTTTTTGTAACTATGTTCATCAGAGATATTGGCCTGTTGTTTTCTTTTTTCCCTTTCTTTCTTTCTTTCTTTCTTTTGTAAGTGTCTTTATCTGATTTTGATATCAGGGCAATGCAGGCCTTGGGGACCATGTCTTAAGAATATATTTTGCTGTCCTATGCTATACCTAGTATAGTATCTGGAATAAAACTAAACCCAGGTTGAATGTGTGAAAAAAAAAAAAAAAAAAAAAAAAAAAAAAGGAATATTGTTTACATCCTACCCAGGCATCTCTGGGCTGGTCTGACTCTCCTGTCTCTGGAATCCATCCGAAGATGAATTGGTATATCCATCACCATCCTCTCCTCAAAGCTGTGGTTGCTGAAAGTTCTGAAATTGCTTAGTATGCCTCTGGTCACAGTCTAAACTCATGGAAACTATTAACCTATTTTCCCCCCATTTTGAAGTGGTGAAATTAAAATAGCAGAAGAACATAAGATGAAAGTCTGGAGAAAAT